AAGATGGCGGTAATCTGCAATTGAGACTGGATGCGGTTTTTTTGCATCCTATCCTTGGGGTGTGTTTGCTTTACGCCGGATTATCCCAACGTTGTTGCTGATTTTGTCGCTGCTGTGGCACTTCAGGGAATTGAAGTATTTATTCCATCAACTGTGATGCCTGTCAAAGGCATGTCATGGTTTGGTCACTCCTGTAAAATTGCATCATGCTGTAAGCAGGAGTGTTACCGGGTCAGGGCTCACGCATCCACGTCTCGGAATGTAAACACCAGCGCTCTTAAAACGAAGTATAATTCTGCCTCTAGGTTAAAGTGTCATTACCAAGGCAAAGTCAGATCATACCGGCAGAATTGGCGAAATACTAATTCAACTTTCTTCGGGAACATGTGCACTCTGGTCTCTGGCCAAGGCTCTCCAAGGGAATTTTTTTCAACGATCTTTTTCATCTCTGCACAGGGCGGACGGTTCACTGGCTCATGTCGCAACGGACAAATCCGATCTGCCGGGCCATCTCGAGGTATGAATGCTCCATGCAAAATGTGCTGTTTACACAGCACTTGGTGTACAAAGCACTCTTCTCCGTGGACGTCAAGAAATCGAGTGAGCATGATGGAGTCCAACCTATTGTGCTGAAGACGTATGCTCCGGGGTTGGCACCAGTTTTAAAGCGTCTTTTCTGATACTACTACTCCCTAGGGGTAGTCTCGAACTTATGGAAGATAGCTTTGCTGTACCCGATCAGATCCATCCAGATCTTCTTGTTGTCCAATATAATGGAAACAATTAATAACCGCCAGCTCATGAGGATCACCAGAAGATTAATGACCGTCGTCAGTACGGATTTCGTCGGGGTCGCTCAGATGGTGATTTTCTGGGTCACCTAAGTCATAGACGGGCGGTGGCAGTAGAATCCAAGTGGGAGGCGTTGGCCGTTAGCTTTGACATAGCGAAGGCCTTCGATCGGGTTTGGCACGAAGCGCTTGTTTCGAAGTTTCCTTACTATGGATTTTTCGAGAAATTGTGCAATCGGATCACCAGTTTTTTTGCAGATCGGTGCATCAAGATCGTAGTAGACAGTGCATGCTCCGATTACGCTCCTATTAAGCCCATTAATACTGTTTTTACACAACATTGCGTGCTATCACCAACGCTGTTTCTTTGGCATATCAATGATATATTGCAAACAGGGAACATTCATTGCTATGCAGACGACAGCACTTGTGATGCTTTATACACCGGCCGTGCTAATATTTCTCGGGAAAACGACGCCGAGTAAGAAGGAACAAACTTGTGTCTGAAGTTGAGACATTATTGAACAAAGTCTCGGACTGGGGGTGACTAAATCTAGTGCAATTCAATTCCCTGAAGCAACCATGTATGCAATAGAAAATTACCATGTGACGTACATTCACTGTTGCTGGATTTGATCGTATTCTGTATGGCGTTTACACTCATTGACGCGATACGCGACTTCGGTCGATGTTTTTGCTTACGCACTATCAAGGGGCAAAGCCCTCGATTACTGGTTTGCTAGTTATTTTGATGTGTACTACGTTCCAGTTCCCAACTTAACGTCTTCTTCGGGGGGAGCGCGTTAGTTGGTTAGCACTCACCCCACACTTGGCGTATGTGGAGCCGTGTGCCTCCCACATGTGTGGAATAAAAATGGAATAATGTTCTTAACATTTTTCGGGACCTGTCTTCGGGAACGGAGTTTCTCAGTTAAAAATAGTATAATGAATTACCAACGCTTTCGATTGCTCTAGTAAATATTCATTCTTCCAAAAGACACCAAAAAGAACTAAGTTACCAATACAACATAAATAAGGGTTCTAACTAAGACGCCTATCACATAAATATTACGAACAGCCAATTACTAAACCTTTAGAAAGATTATTGGGAAAGATCAAAATATATTTATTTATTCTAGTCACGTTAATTTAATATTTTATAGATGGCCACTTTATACAAAATATATAATATAAAGAAGTAGTTAGAAATAAAAGAGGGAAATGCGTTATAAAACGTATATTCTGAGAATGGTAAACGCTTAAACAACGTGTTGAATTGTTAAAATTGTAAAAAAAAGGTGAGCATCAACTTAACAAACAAAATTGAAAGATTTGGAGCCACGAAAATTCACGGGAGATTCATCAAGTGTAGCAGCAATGGAGAGACACACTCCGAAAAAGTCACTGTTTGGTGTGGATTTTAGTTCGGCAGAATCATAGGCCCTTATTTCTTTAAAAATTAAAATGGAGTCGCAATGGTATAGACCGCACAAAGATGTGGTTCCAACAGGACGGCACCACTTGCTATACCGCACGGGAAACATTGAATTTATGGGATGATAAGTTCGAGGGATCATCTCGCATGGTGGCGACGTCAACTAGCCACCGAGATCCTGTGACTTAACACCACTCGACTACTATCTGTGAGGCTACGTGAAATCTTTGGTCTATGCAGACAAACCACAGACAATTGCCGCACTGAAGGCCAGCATAACACTCGCGTTCTTCATGAAGTTGAACTCTATTTATGCGAAGATGTTGTTGAAAATTGGTACACAAGGATATACCATTTACAGCGAAGTCGCGTCAACTATTTAGATGAAATTATATTCCATACATAATTTATCGAATGTCATTTAAAACAAAAGAAAAATTGTGGCAATATCATTTGCACACGTAGTTTTATTTCATTTCAAAGTTCAAGCGCTCTTAATGAGGAACACTTTAGCAAAGCCAGCAGTGATTTTTAATAGAATCAGGCGTTACTTTGCGGAAATGTATTACATTAATAATATAAAAAATAATTGGATAAGATCCGCGTAACAAAATAAAATGATGTCCACTTCACCTCGGGACGCCTGGTTTAGAGGCGAGTTGACAATAGGTGTTGTATCGTCGACGGTGTTGTGTCCTTCCTGTAGTGACAGTGTTGAAGTAGTGGTGCTGGGATTAGCGGCGATGGGGATAGTGCACGCAATTGGGATGGATGGTGAGAAGTGCTCTCAAAACTAGTTAAGACACAAGATTTTATTTTATTACGCGAAACTTAGCTAATTAATATTAAACAACTTTAATGGCAGAAAAGGAATATGGGATGGAAGTTTTAATCTGATACCTTTGCACAGTTATACAAAATACTTTCTAAATTTTCCTTATACTAACGATTGAATTTCGTGGTGAAACAGCTTTAAATTAGGATACCTTATTGCTTAAAATGGTCTGCAAAGACGAGAATGAACGGTGAGAATAAACAATTCGAACAAACTTTGTTTTAGTAACTCCAGTCAGAAAATACTGAAAATTATAATGAATTGCGTTTAACTTTTAATTAAAGATGTAATTAATTTTTTGCTTTTTGAAACCTTATAAGAATTTAATTATTTGAAAACATTACGGATTAGGAAACTGTAGTGGTAAATGGTTTTTTGAAGAATTCAATAATCAGTTTTCCTGAAATGCGTGTGAACTAAAGTAAAGTCTCCCTTAATTATTTTATTTTATATATATATTGCCACTTTCAGCGACACTGGGTAGAGCTGGCAATAGGACTGACTAAAATGACAATATTATAATGTAGGCATAAATATTAACATTACTAACATAGTTATTAAGTAAAATTGTTTCTATAATACTTACACTTAATATAGACTAATTATGTCTGAAATAAAGTTATATTATTATTATTATAACATATCGACTCATCCGTAGAATAAAGTCCGATCTGTAGTGTTGATAGTTTTCAGTAGAGGCTGGAGAAGATTTTAACTTGTGCAACTTTTTAACGGTGAAACTTAACATTTAGATTTTTTGGTATGTTGTAACAACGCCCTAGCCTAGTTTAATGATATGTAGTGTATATTTATTATCCCTTTATTTCACGAGATAGTGAGTTCCATATCAACATAGGACGTTTTATACGCAAAACAGCGGGGTCCGTATCGAACATCATACGTTGTTTTACGGAGACGTCTGAATTAAGTAGTGGTCTATATTGATATGGGTCATTTTTTGTTGGAATTACTCATCCCTTATGAGTCCTTTGTGAATATCCACCTTAAAATATTTAAACATAATGTTAGCTTTATTATGACTAACCCTATATAACTAAATAAAAAGTGAAATTATTATTTAAAACCGTTTATTAAAAAAATCAAAATAGATAACAGAATCATTAGATAGAATATCACTTTCAACAGCAATCATATCACAGTTAGGTATGGACTTAAAATTTATAAAATTATAAAACTACAGATCTATGTCAGTATTATAACAATTCAGAAGACGCGCATGAAGAATCTTAAACTTTGTGTTAGTTATAAAATCAACAGTAACACAATTATTTGTTTAAATAAAATTCCGTCTTTATAGTTTTACCTATTAGACCTTCATGACCTAGACGAGATTATATTATATAACAACAATTAAACTGTACAAATACCTAAAACTGCGTTTTCGGCGTAATAGTTGAATCATAATATAGTAATTAAATGTCTTATCGTATCATAACATGGTAACTAGGTAACCCACACAACTATGCACGGACTTAAGAGAAAATATAGGCGGAGTGACTAATCTAAATAGGTATTGTCATAAACCAAGAAAAAAAACAGGGGAGAGCGTTTCTATGGAGAAAAAACCACCCGCATTTCCTCTTAAACTAGCAGTCTTAAACTTATAAAATGTACGTAAATATTAACATAACAATGGAAAATATATGATATGAATATGAAGATATTTAAACTTCGAACTAGTTATTTAATTCAAAATAAATCATATTACAACCAGCCTGCATAATATTATAAATCAGTCTTATATCGTGACCTAGACGTGGGTGCACATACTTAATAGCAATGACATTGTACGTAGACAAACATTAAATTACTTAGTTAAATACTTATTATAATTAACATTGTTTCGTTAATTCAGTAAGAACAATACAGCTCGAAAAAGAAGCAGCAAAAAATGGAAATAGTGTATCTAAAATATTCCTTATTCCGATATATTATCATCCGATTCTTCAGAAACATCGACGTTGGTGTGATGTGGCAAAGAGTTAAAGTATGGATGATACTCTGAGGGAATTACTTCTGAGCGGCACATATCTATTAAGTCTTTATATTTAGCAGCAGGAACTATAATAGGCTCGGAATATTCAGGTTTTAGTTCAGTTTGTACCGAGTTTCTCGTGTTACTGCGAATCAATAAAATATTATAATCAGGTCATATTTAAAAACAATTTGTTTGGATCACTACCATCCGCATGAACTTCTCGAATGTTACTCCAGTTAATCTTCTTGTCCTTAATGTCGTTCATCCAAACCTTATTATTTACAAGACATTTAAAGTCAAACACGTCATTCTGGGTTACGTTGCGTACAACATAGGGTTCTCCATCTTCTTGGCCCATCTTACTAATAAACGCCATTCATGAGGGGTGTAGAAAGTTTTGGTTTGAGAAGCTCTCTCGATGACAGAGTGGACACTATCCCCCTCATTCTGGGTATGTCCCTTCTCTAAAAACCGGTGTGTTATGCATATGTTGAACATTTTTGCGGCGTAAACGTACAGTGAAAATACAAAGCGGTTACGATTTTGCCCAGCACAATTGTCTGACCAAAAGCGAAACTCTTTGGCTCCTTGGTCAACATTACTCTGGATAAAATTTAAGAGGCAACTGTTTACCTCATTTGTGCCACGTTTTGCCACAGATTCATCCCACATATAGCAAATGGCTTTCCTTTTCCCCATGTCAAAAACTGTGAAATTAAAAGAAGATAGCTTTCTCTTATAGTAAAATATGTTTATATTGCCATGAGGACACTGCAATACTTTTTCGAAATCAAATACAGCAGTAACCATTTTTCCATTTCACTCTTCTGCGTTTTTTTATCTTGGCTCTTTAAATCCCTTGCGACCTTTTTATTAATCTGGTGCTGTTGAAAAGATTCTTTTTCTTGGTCCGTTGGGTTATTTTTCAACCGGAAAACGTGATATTCGTTGCACTGATCCTTTTTGGGAATATGGAAAGCTAGATTGAAGTTTAAGTTGACAATATCACGATACTGGCGTTCTTTTGTAGCCTTAGAGGAGTATTTTTCAGGGTCAAACCATTCAAGATACAATTTGAACATCTTAGCAATACTTAAGTCTCCTTTTAGGTAGAGCTTTTGGCTATTCTTGCGTATATAATGTGATTCAACAGGGACGAATACCCTAACATGGTCAGAAATACTTTGTTTCATTACGTCATTTATAACGATCTTATGATTGTCGTGGCGACCCCGTCTGTCCTCCTCTAAAATAGCACTTCCATCGTACTTCTTCCACGCAGTCTTTAAGATACGAGTTGAAACGGCGAGAGTATTAATAAACATAGTTTGGCATACTTCAGCTTTCTTACAGTGAGATTCGCTAGAACCTGTAATCAGCGGCAGATAATACTTAAAAGTATGTTTCCTATTATTAGGAATATCTTGATTCATACATCTTTTCTTCTTCATTTTATCCGAATATTTGATAATGAAATTCCACTGCATAGCTCGATCTCCCAGTTGCCAAAATTTTTCTGAAGCAGTCCAACCGCTTTTGGTGAGATATTTTATCAGGGCATTTGTAACGGCATTTGCATGATGGCCCTATCGTTTTACCGCCTACGGTTTTACCCTTTTTCGTTACATATTTCCTACCTAAGTTCTTAAGACATTTGCGTTTAAAGTCTGTCCATTCTTTTGGGCACCTCAGTCGTTTTCTAGTCGTTTTAGGAGTCACAGTGCGATCGTTTGAGTGCGAAGTAGCAGGTGAATTCGTTTTGCTAAATGACAACGAAGAAATTATAGAGGAACTGTCTACATGATTAGGGCAAAATGTGCTATCGCAGATCGAATGCACATTAGTAGGAGACGGCATAGGAGTAAGCACTGACAGTTCTAAATTAACCGGGGTAGATCTGTGGTCAGAAACTTCTAACAGCTCATCAAGCTGTATTAATGGTGAATTTTCGAAACTAGAAAGCACTTCCAAGGAAAACCTACTGGGTTGATTGCTGTAAACATCATTAGCAGACAGATCAGACATGACATTCAGTATTGAGCTGTCGCAGGTGATTTCATTGGTCCCACCTTCTTCATGCAGAACTTCTTCCCATAAATCAGCTAGTTTCTGACTGATTTCTTCTGCACCGGAAGGCAAAGGTGATGTTTGTTGTGTCATGCCGTTGTCATCAACATTCATAGCTGAAGTTAAAAAAAAACTATATTATTTTAGGTATTGTTAAAATACTATTTATAATATTATGTATTTTGCAAGACAACGCGATTAATTTAACAAATGTTTACTAAAAAAAACTCTTATATTTAACGATATATTTGAACGAATAACGTCTTAACTAATCTCATTTTTCCAATAACAATGTCCTATCTTAATAACGAACCAACAAATCATGACAAAGATACCGCAGAAAAACGTCTTATATTTACATGAAACGCTTAGA